AGAGTCACCAGAGCATCTGTGAATCTCAACCTGTTGGGGTCCTGGGCCTGTCCAAAGAATGGCTGGAAGTTATGGGCCAACAAAACAGCAACCCACACTCTCACATTCAATGTGCCCACAGTTGTCCTAGAGTTCACAGATCCCCTGAGCCTGCCCAGGGAGATAGTTCCTTTTCTAAAGAGAGGATGGACAAGGGCCAGGGCTTCCTTCCCTAGGCCAGCTGCTAAGCCCCATCACTGGCAGTGTCCTCCCACATCAGAAGGGAGCAACTTCTTGGATCACTGCTCCTCACTTCCTCAGCAGGTCAGGGGGTTTCACATCAGCCTGGAGCTGACTCTGCTTGGAAGGGAAACACCACGGTAATTACAGCCAAGAGGCAGATCAGGAAGCCAGTGGAATCCCTGGGAATCTGAACACCCCTTAACATTGCTCACTACCCCATTTCTGGCCAGACTGGGTTAGGGGACCAGGAAGGGTCTATATCCAAGCTGAGGCAATACGAGGCTCACCTTCCCAAGCAGGCCTTACTGGGGCACAGGAAAAGCCGAGTCTAGTTGCTCCCAGTTACCAGGTGGCCTGGGAATGTCTCAGAGGAAGATACCCAGGCTCATACAAGCCCTGTACCCACCAGGCCCTGCAAGGAGCCCCAGCCTTGGGAGCCAGGGGCAGGGAGTTCTAGGAGTAGCAACCCCCTCATCTGCTCCCGAGGAAACAGTATCCAAGCTCCCCCCTCCCCCCGGCCCATCTGCCCAGCTCTCTGCCCCTTGCCCTCCGCCACCCCAGCAGGCCAGCAGACCATGCGAGCAGCAGGTGCAAGACGCGGGGGTGGCACTGAGATGACACAAAACCACACTCGCCCCCGCGTCCTAAACCCTGCCGGCCTCCACCACAGCCCTCCGGCCACCCCAGGCTGGCGCTTCCGTTTGGATATTGAGATGGGGGCGGGGGGCAGCTAGCTGCCTGCCTCCCTCTGACTGAGGGGTGGGAGGCGGCGCCGAGAATGTCCTTCCTCGCTTGTCCGCGGACGAGAGGAAACAGGGGCCCCCCAGCCCGTCCCTCCCGCCAAGGACGCGGCTCCGCAGTGACCCGGGCGGGGGCCGAGGCCGGAGGCCGCAGCCCCCAGCCCCACCCCGCCCTCCCGCCCCGCACGACGCTCCCGCCAGGCCCCGGCGCCCGCCCGGCGGCGGCCTCGGTGCGCGGTCCCGCCCCCGGCCAGGCCCTGCTTACCCGGGGCGCTGCAGTCCGCACACACCTCCGCTCGCGGCCCCTTCCGGGACATCCTCAGCGGCGACGCGGCCGCAGCCCTCTGGGCCAGCGTGGGGGGCGCGGGCGGCGAGCCCGGGCGGCGGCGGCGGCCCCTGCTGCCCGGCCCGGCTCCGGCAAGGCCCCGGGTAGGCTCCGCGCGCCCGGCCCACCGACCGCCCCCTGGGCTGGCCCGGAACCCGCCGTGCCCGCCTGCCCGCCTGCCCGCTCGCCCTCGGGCGCCCTCCGCCCCGCGCCGCCCCGCGCTGCCCCGCCGCCACTCGCCGCTCGCTCTCTCCGCCCCTTGCGCGGCTCCCGGCCGCTCCTGCAGGAAGCGGCGCAGGCCCTGCCCACCGGGGGAGGGGCAGCCCGCACACCCGCCCCGCCGACCGGCCCTGCTGGCCGCGCCTCCCGGAGAAAGGAAGACGGGAGCACGGGCGGGAGGGGGCGGGGGTGCTTAAAGGGACAGCGGCCGCCGCCTGGCTCGAGCGGGCAGTCTTCCCTGCGGCCCTGGCCCCTGCTCCGGGGTTCCCCTGGCCCGGAGGCAGTGTGAGTCAGCCCTATATACCCTTCACTTTCGAGATGGGAGGGTGGCCCGGCGCTCGGGTCCTAGGACAGTGGCCCCTGGGAATCAGGGACAAGAGTAAGGAGCTGGAGGCCCAAGCTTTCCCTCCTGTCAAGGGCCTGTGGTTTGGGGTACCCGCCTATCTCTGGTTGCGGTGAGGTTTGCGTCCTGGTCTCCCATGTATCCACATCTGTGTGTCCAGGTGTGTTTGTGGTCACACTCTTGCTGATTATGCACACCGCCAACAATATGGACGCCCAAGTGCCGAAGAGGTCATGCAGTATACTCCCTACCTCCCGGCTAAGAGTACATTTATCCTTCCTCAACGCTTGCCTCCAGAGGAAAGAATCTGGGCGGTTTTTAAAGACCTCCAGAGTGACCACTGTGCAGTTATATCCACTTGTCATCTGTCTTGTATACATTTAAAGTGTTTCTGGGCCACCAGAGGTGTATGTGTCCAGGGTGTGTGTGTATAATATACAGGGACTTATTTTTGTGGCAGCCTTTATTCCTGAACTTCAAGCGAATTGGCAAGGTTGGTGGCGAGGGGTGGGGGTGGGGGGGCAGAGGCGAGGCTGCACGTGGTTTCACCCGTGCACTGAGCATGCTCCCCCAAACACGTGTGACTCGCGTGCACCCAGCCCCCATCCCGGCAGCAGCAAAAGGCCAGCGCACTGTTGTGGGGAAGGGGCAGGGGTGCCCAGGACCAGGCCTGGGGGTCAGGTCCATGGTGACACGATTAAGGGAGAGGTCCCACGCGGCAGGGAATCCTGCTCAGTAACCCGAGTGAAGGGTGGGGGGATCCTTGGGCAGGGATGCTGGAGTTGGTCGATTTTATCCCAGCGGTGGCAGAGCAGCAGTGACTTGTGGGTGGACACGCTGCTTTCCTGGGGGAGACAAAGTAATGCTCATGAGTCACACCACCCGAAATACATGCAAAGCTGTCTCCATCGCCTTTCGCTGCAGCCCAGATTGACAAGTTTGTTTGAAATAGCGATCCACGGGATATTTTTATAATCATAACTTAAAAAAAAAATTCTTCAGGGCTCCCTCCCCTGAAGGAAGCTGGCTGGCGGGGTTTCTGTAAGCAAGGATACCTCGAGGGTTGGGGGTGAGGGGTTGGAACACCACCTGCGGTCCGGTGCTGCACCCGCACGGAGAAGGCAGTCTATGGGCTTGGGGACCCCAGTCCAGGCAACAAGAAGAGTATCCAGCCGCTCAAACAGGGCGCACAGCCCACCAGCGGTGGCCTCCCGTTCAACCGGTCGAACCCCAGCAATGGAATTTCATTTATTAAATGTCGAGGCGGCTGCTGGCAGCCCCATCGCTTGGTTGTCTTTGTTTCTCTGCTGTGTGGGCGCGTCTCGAGCACGTGGCAACTGGAGCGCGCAGGCCGGAGGAAAAAGCGACCTGGGTTTAGCCTATGTACGAACGCCTGGCAAAAAGAGAGCTGGCTGCCCAGGGGGCAGCCCTCCCCCGCCCCCCAATCCTGGCTGAGCTCCCCCCTTCCACGAGCTCTAAGATTTTTCAGGAGAAAATGTACGATTCACCCTGTTACCCCGCCCCACCTCCTGGTTGGCTCAGGACTACCTGGGAGGGGCCCAGGCACGGATCCACTCTCCAAACTTTGTTCCGGAAGCCCACCGCCACAGCCTGGGCCTGGGGCTAGGGATAAAAGGGTTTCAGGATTTCCTTTTGGAGATGTCGTCACCTCAGGAAGCAGAACTGTTAAAGAGAAATCACACACAAGGTTCTAAAAACAATTTAATAACGAAATGTACAGGCATTCTCTCGGCCACTCCTAGCAGTCCCTCCCCTTCTCCAGCCCCCTCCTCAACTCGGTCTGCAGCCACAACACTCTGCTGACCCCTCGTGGTAGAGGTGGGCAGTGGTTCCCCGCTGCCAGAGACGCCAGCTGGCTCCTCCCAGGCTGGAACCGGGCGAGGCCGTCCACTCATCCCTCATCCTTCCCCGCCCGCCCGGGCCTGGCACCGCAGGGTGTGGAGGAGGAAGGAGAGGAGACCACACAAAGAAACCTGAGAGAGGCGCGGAGAGTTTGCAAGCTTTTGCTAGCACCTCCCACACAAACACTTCTTGGATTGTTCTAAGTAGGGCTGGTGTGGAATTCCTTATTCCTGTCTGGTTCTGAGGTGGGTCTACCAAGGCATTATGCCTGGTCTCCATCACCTGTCTCAGTGTGCTCGGATGGGGGAGGGATGCGTCGTTTCCAGTGCAGTTACTATCCTTAGCTCACCCTAGGAGGGAGTTTCCAGTCTCATTTTAGAGGTGAGTGGTCTGAGAAACCAGAATATTGAAACAATTTGCTTAAGGTCAGGCTATTGATAAGGAGGAATTCTAACTCAGGTCTCTCTAACATCCCACTCCCTCCTCCCTCCAGGGACTGGACCAAGCCTCTAGGTCCTTCCCGCCCTTGCAATAAATGGCCTCAGAGGCCAAATCCATTTTTACCACAGCATCTGCAGGGATCCTTCTGGAAGAATCTCTGCCCTGGGGTTATTTAGGATGGGAACAGTCTCTGGAATTAGTCACTTCCTCTCCTGAGGAGACCACACGGGGTGGAGGTAGGGAGCTGCCACCTGCTGCTTTCTCTGCCCGGCCCCACTCTGGTCCTTGAAGAGGACAGCGTATGGGGAAGGGCGACGGTCCTCCCAGTCTTACTGGACATTCCAATGTCAAGTGTGGAGGATAGAGTTTAATTTTATAAAAGGGTAGGGAAGACTCCTACGTAATGTCAGGTGCCAGACCCCTGGCCGCTCCAATGACCCTTGGTACTAATGCCCCTCATCTTTCTGAGGAGTCCTCATCAGTCACTTTTCTGGGAATATGGATCCCTTCTCACGTTTTCCTGGGACCCCAGCTCAATCCTGAAGGCCACACCTCCCCCCATGCTTAAACGATATCTGTAGCCCCCTCCCTGCACAGCAAAAAGCAAAATGCCAGTGGGTGGGGTTGTGTTCCAGCCGACCTAGCGTCAGGACGCTGCCTCTGTTTCAGCCAGGCCTGACTCCTTCCCCCACGCTTTCATAAGATGAGGTGGGCAGTGCCGGATGCTCCCCCGCCACTCGCCACCCCCAGATCCACGAGGTGGACTACAAGCCCCATAATGCCGCGGGGCCGAGTTATAACACGCTGTGCTCAGGGCATCCGCGTCCCCCTCCTCTCTCCTGCAACTCCGCATCCCTCTCCTGCCGCTCGGGCTGAGGGCCGGGCTATGCGGCTGCGGGAAGCTGGGGGCTGCAGGAGCGCGTCCCTGCGGCGACGACGGCGTCCCCGGGGTCCCGCGCCCCGTGCACCCCCGCGCCCGCTGCGGGCGCCTGCTCGCTTATCCAAGAGGCGTCTTTGTGTGCGGGGGTGTGGAAATCGAGGCGCGAGTCCGCGCGGTACCGAGTGCCTGCTCCCTCTCCCGGCGGGTGGGGGCCTCTCCGCGCCGCCCGCCGTCGCCGCCGCTGCCTCGCGAGGACGCCCGCGGCCCGCGCCGCTCGCCTCGCGCCGGGCGCGCCGCCCCCGCCCGCCGGCGCCGCTCGCACATGCCCGAGCTGCAGCCTTGCGAGCAGGCAGCGCCGGCCCCCCGCCCCACGGCCCCGGGCCCCGGCTCCGGCGCCGTCCCCCTTCCCGAGCCGGGCGCCGCGGCCCCGGCATGAGGAGCAGACGATGATCCCCGCCAACGCCTCCGCCAGGAAGGGGCCCGAGGGCAAGTACCCGCTGCACTACCTGGTGTGGCACAACCGCCACCGTGAGCTGGAAAAAGAGGTCCGCGCGGGCCAGGTAAGAGCGCCGTCGGGTCGCCGCAGGGACCCCACGGCCGGGCACGCCCGCCTGGCGTGGGGAGGGGGCGCGGCGCGGACTGTCCCGCCTCCCAGGCGAGTTTGCGGCGCTTCTTTGTTCAAGCCGCGGCGATTGTGCACGTTGACCGGGAGAGGGTGGTGGGAACAGCCCCGCGACCCTCTGGCTGGGACTGAAGCCCCACACGTGTCCCAGACCTTCTCAGATTGGGGACGGGGATACTGTCCTCCTCCTTCGCCGAGGCTGTGAGGGCTTCGGGAGGGGCTGCCGTCTCAGTCTGTGTTCCATGTGGTGGGAAAATCCTCCCCTCTCAGCGGAGCGACACCTCCAGGTTGAGTGTGCGGAGATGGGCAAGGCCTGGGGCGGGCCGGGTGGGGGTCACAAGTCAGGAATCAGAGAATAAGCTGTGTGAAACTCCCAAGCATCCCAGCCCCACCCAGTGCCCTCGGCCCTCACGGTGAGTGCTTCTGTTTTCTCAAACTGGGCAGAGCCCTTGGATCCCTCAGACCCCAGAGCCGGCTCAGGAATGGGGAGTGGAGAAAAGAGAGACCCTCTTGGGTAAGCCCTGAGGGCCTTGTCCAGGTGCTGAAAGGCGCTCTCCTGCCTGCTGGTGCTGGGGCCTGGCTTCTAGTCTCTGAGGAAGCTAAGAGCCACTGGCCACAAGAAAGATCATAGGTTCTACACACACAGCAGGCTTCCTTGTTCCTGCTAGTCAGTGGGAACTGATGGGTCAGGCAGCTTTGGCTGGACAATGGCCTCCAAGTAGAAGAGGTCTCTTGGCCATTCTTCAGGACCAAGGCGTGCACAGGTCACAGGTAGTTCCCAACTCCACCCTTGGCCCCCAGGCCACCACTCACTCTCCATGGTGGGGAAGCAGGAGCCAGAGATAGGCCCAGTCGGTCCCCAGTTGCCTCAGGTTGAGGCCTACAGACTTGACTGGGGTCTAAGACACCTGGGGCCATGGGCTGGGAATGGTTTGCTCAGGAGTTGCCCCCTTTGAGGGCCACTTCCTGAGTCACACAGCTGTCTGCTTCCCAGGGAAAGAGGAGGACATCACCAGACAGTGAAGCAGGTGAGGGTTAAAGTGTGTCTCTGAAGTCTACCACTGAGTCCCCAGGCCAGCACAGCACCATCTCTGCATAGCACTCCCAGGAAATATTGGGGTGACCAGAGCCTCCAAGTCTCTGGGCTGGTTAGGGTGTCCACTTCCATTCTACCTCTGCTCACACAAGGATGCTCCAAGTTGCTCCTAAGACTGTGTCTCTATTTGTCCATCATCAAGGAAGTGGTTTTCAGCCATAGAGGCTTGGTAAAGGAATCGAGGTCAGAATATTAGTTCCTGGGGAACAAAGATAAACAATCCCTGCCCTCAAGGAGATCCTGTTCTGGTGATGCGAGTGTAAACAGGGAAGTACAGTGTGATGTGCAGGCTGCTGAGCTAGACAGTCCAGTCTCTTCTTTCTCTTCTCTGCTTTTGTCCCCTGAGGACAAAAGAAGACAAGTCTCTGACAGAGGAGAGTTTTACAGATGGAGAGATTTAAGACTGATCTGAGAGGAACTTCCTGATGGGATGGTTGAGGGATGGTAAGTTGAACGATTGTTAGACAGAAGGCTAGTGGCTGAATCTCTAGAATACCTTAGTCGCACTCCTTTGCTGGATGGTCTTTTTCTTGCAGATTTGGGAGAGGCAAAATCCCCTAGAAGAAAAGGCTCTTTAACCCAGGCCTCTCTGATTGATTGTCCTCAGTTCAACAGCTTTCTTACTGGGGTGAGGTTGGGGTAGTGAGCACTGGAACCTGCTGCAGGTAGGAGTGCTTTGGGGCTGCTGAACGTGTTCCTCTTTTCCTTCCCTCAGGCTGCCACAGAAACCAGGCACCAGGTTCACCCCATCCCCACTCTCTCAATGCCCCACCCCACACCCTCCCCTGGTGAGTTACTGTCTCCTTGAAATGGACACCACTTGCTCTGATCCAGGCCAGGGGGAATATAGGGCACTGGTTGAGGTTAACCCTTGTTCAGCCACAAAGGAATTAGGCCAGTCCTCTCCTTCACTCTGGGCATGCCAAGAAGGGGAATCTGGGTGGGAGAGGCTCCTGGCTGTATCTTATCTCCAGGACTGACCCAGAATGACACTTGCATCCAAATGTGCACTGCTCAGCGCCCAGGGCCTCAGGCTCCCAGGGAGAGCTGAAGGTGCCCAATCCTGCCATTTTCTGCAGGGGATGGGCCTGGGGGCAGCCACTGCATATCATAAAATCATCATAGACTCCTGGTATTCCAGCTGGGGGCCCCTGACCTCTGGTTCTCCTGGCACCAACTGTCACAGAAAACAGCCAGGCTTTCCTCTAGCAAAGCAGCTGGGTTTCCCTGATCTTCACTTGGCATAGCTGCTGCTTATTCACTCCAAGAAAGCCCTGCAGAGGCCCTCCTGTGGGCAGGCTTGGCAGTGCTGTCTGCCTGAGGAGGGGGATGGTATGGCAGGCTTCAGAGCAACTTCATGGACTTTGCTCAGCCCCTTCCCCCAGCAGTTTTGGGGGCTGTAAGCAGGGAATGGGAGGGAGATGGGAGGTGCTGAGCAGGTGTTTTTGGTGAAGGGAAGGGTCCATGACCACCCCTAGCTGGCGCCCAGCAGTACATGGTTGCTGGGTGCCCTGTTTCCTGCCTTGCATATGCCCTGCCAGGTTGGGAGGGGGCTGGAGTTGTAGACCAGAGGGTGCATCAGGTCCCTCTTGGCTGGCAAAGCACTGAGGTTGGCACAGCCAGCTGGCCATGGCCCTGGTTCTGGAGTCACAAGTCTCTGGTGTTCCCTGGGGGTGGGAGGTGGAGGTTAGATTGTATAGCTGCCTGTGGGAGGGCCGAGGGGAGCAGGATTCTTCCCCTGGCAGCAGCCACTCTGGAAAGGGCCAGACTGTGGTCCGAGGGAAACATCTTTCTTCCCGAGGCTGCCTCCACCATGGTCTTCCTTCCTGCTTTTCCCCTTCTGACCTAGAGGCAGGGAAGATGGGATTGTGGGGCCCCTGGATGCCCAACCCAAGGCACCTATTGTGTTCAAGAGCACCTGTGACTCCCCTTCCCCTAAAGTGAGCAGTTCAGGTGTGGGCTGTCACCACAGCTGGTGAGTTGGGAAACTCAGGGGAGGGAGCCACAAACCCCAGAAACCAAAAATCAATGTGTTTGGGTTGAGGGGAGGGGCTGTGTGGGACAGGATGGAGGAGGTAGGGTGGAGGGAGAGTTAGCAGGTGCCACCCCTGCCTACTCAACTCAGCTTGAGGAAGCATCCTGCCTCCCTCCCTTTGAGTGACTCAGGCATACCTGTCCCTACACTTTATGGTTGGGTGGGAGAGCTGAGAAGCAGTGACCACACCAGACTAGCTGTCCCCCCTGGGGCTGGAGGAGGGAGGGGGCCAGGGAAAAGAGACAAAGGCTGAGTAGGCAAGGCCTCACACTCTGGGCCTGTCTCCCTTCTCCAGCACCCATATTTGGTCTATACATTTGGTGTGTCCTTGTAAGATTTCACCTAACAAAAGGATTCTGCTAATGCTAAACAAGTTTGAAAATATGCCCTGCCAGTGCAGGTGGGTGTGAGGGGTGTGCATGTGTTAATATGCTGCAGTCGTCATGTGTTACACATGAGTAGACACCTGTAGAGCCAGAGGGCAGCTGGACACGCATGTGCTTGCACACTGTGGGTGCACACGTACTGTGAGTGTGGAGACAGGAGGAGCATGAGTGTGTATCCTTATGGTACGTGCATGTGCATGTATGCACCTGAGTGGAAGCAGGGGGCCTCTCAGGGAGCCCAGCTCTTAAGCTGGAAAGACCCCGGCTTTTGACTCCTGCTGAGGGCTGCTGGGTTGCAGAGTTTCCATTCCCTTGGTGGGGAGGGCTGGGTGTTGGGTTTCATGGGAAACTTTTTCATTCCAACAATTAAATAGCTTCAGACCTTGTTGAGGAAATGAATTCTCCCACCTGGGGCCAGGGTAAGGCGCCACCTCCACTGTAGGCCCTGCTTTGTCAGGAGAGGAAGCTTCTCTGGGGCTTGGCTGGGTGTATGCAAGGCCCACGTTGGCCCTGGAAAACAGCTGTGCCCTGGGGACCCTGAGGAGGGTTGTGGGTAAATCTCTTGAGAAGCGGGGTTGGGGGGGTGTGGGAGGTGAGGAGGGACACCAGCTGCCCTGCAGGCAGTGCCGGCCTCTCTCTCTGGAGCCTGGAGCTGAGGCACCTGAGGGGATGGGTGGCAGGCAGCATCTGGAGCCCTGGGGCCAGGCAGGGTGCCCTGCTAGCTCCCTAGGGCCTTGTTAGCAGCAGCAGCAACTGGGGCAGAGCTGGTGAGATGGCTCAGCTGCAGCCCCATGGTAAGGCTTCCTGACTGCCCCGGGTCCTCCACCACTCCCACCCCAGGGCTCAGGACCCACCCAGGGTGCTTCCCTGAGGGTCCTCGCCCAACTGGTGACAGGCAAAGCATAAATAGTGCTCTCTTCCTCTGTGGGGAGCTGGTGTGGAGGAGCAGCAGGAGGGCCGCTCACGTTTCTAAGTCACAGCTCAGAGGGCCACAAGGGCCAGGTACACTTTGTTTTGAGGCTCCTGGTATAATTTAAAAACGAAGAAATGCCAACACAGCGTTATAAAAACTATATAAATAATTTACATTATTTAAAATGCTTTATTTTTGATAAAGGAGTCCATACTCATGTTTTAAAGTATGTAACTGTCGCTAGAAAGCTTATAATGAAAAGCAGCAGTCCTCACCCCCCCCCCCATCTCATTCCCCAGAGGCGGCTACTTTGAACTCTAGGCTGTAGTGTTACTTACCTCCACAAATATAAACAACATATTTCTACAACTCCGTGGTTTATCTTTTTTTATTTTTTATTTTTTTTTATCCTCACCCGAGGACATTTTTCCATTTTTTGTACAGATAGAGTGGGAGGGAGAGAGAGGAAGAGAGAGTGAGAGAAACATCGAACGTGAAAGGGACACAT